TGAGTGTGAGTGTGTGTGTGTGTGCATGTGTGTGTGTGTGTGTGTGTGTTGTGTGTGTGTGTGTGTGTGTGTGTGTGTGTGTGTGTGTGTGTGTTGTGTGTGTGTGTGTGTGTGTGTGTGTGGTGTGTGTGTGTGTGTGTGTGTGTGTGTGTTGTGTGTGGGCGCGCGCGCGCGCGTGTGAGTGTGTGGTGCATACATTTAAAGCAGTAATACCTTCTCCATAAAGCTGTCTCCAGTATATATTGTCCTCTATATATTATCTATTGGCAGTTAAAAAGACTGCGATAAGATAAAAGATATATTTGAAAACAACTTTTTCCTTATGATACATTTATCTCACTCTGAATGTGTATGTTAGAATATTGCTGTTTAGAAAGACATGTTTTTTGTGTATGTGTGTGTGTGTGTGTGTGTGTGTGTGAATAAATAATAAGTAAGTAAGTAAATAAATAAATAAATAAATGAATATACATACATACATATATATATATATATATATATATATATATATATATATATATATATATATATATATATATATATCTATCTATATCTATCTATCTATCTATCTATCTATCTATCTATCTATCTATCTATCTATCTATCTATCTATCTATCTATCTATCTATCTATCTATCTATCTATCTCTCTATCTATCTAACTATCTATATATATGCATATTCCTTTAATGATTTATTTATTTATTTATTTATTCACACACACACACACAGAAACCCACACACACATACATATATATGTATATGTATGAAAGTGATCACACGCATAAACACCTACAAACAAACAACAAACAAACAAAACAAAACATGACCATTAGCCCTGAAACACCGTACCACTTGACCTCAAAATAATACGTAACTTTTCCCTTCTTGGATTAGGTAACCTTATCAATCTGTGACATAACAAGGGATTTGCTGATTAACGGTTTTCGATCCGATAATAATACGCTAGATAAAGGCATTATAAAAGACTCGATTCATTTGAAGCTATATAACGTTAATGGCAATAATGATGGTAATTGTAGAAATGATGATGGCAAAGGATGATGACGATTGTGTTAATATAGAGTGCTAATGGTGGAATTATTAGTAATGATAAAGACGATGCTGATGGTAATGACGATAGAAATGGTTATGATAATGGTAATGGCAATGGTGATGATAATGAGAATAATAAAAATGACGGTGGTATTGTTATTGTTTGTTATTTTTATTATTATTATTATTTTATTATCATCATTACTATTATTATTATTATTATTATTATCATTACTATTATTATCATTATCATTATTATTATTATCATTATTACCTTTATCATTATTACCTTTATCATTATTATCATGATTATCATTATTGCTACTACTATTATCATAATTGTCATTATAATTATTATTACTACTACTATCGTTATTATTATTATCACTATCTTCTTTTTCTTCTTCTTCTTTTGTTATATGCCGCAGTTTCCTACCTTTGGGTGCTTGACTTCCTCCGCAGGTGTCAAAAGTGAAAACACTTGAAGATGATAATGATAATAATGATAACGGCAATAACAATGATGGTGATGATGATGATGATGATGATGATGATATGATGATAAAGATAATAATAATAAAAAGATAACTGTGACAATGATAATAACAATAATGATAATGATAATAATGATACCGATAACAATGCTAATGGTAATAATCATAATAATGATTATAAAATCAATAACAACAAGGACAATACTACTACTACTACTAGTAATGATGATGATGATAATAACAATGGTAATAATGATGATAACAATGATAATAATAATAATAATAATAATAATAATAATAATAATAATAATAATAATAATAATAATAATAATAATAATAATAATAATAATAATAATAAAAGTAATGATGATGATAATAATGATAATCATAATGATGATGACGATAACAACAACAACAATAATAATAATAATAATAATAATAATAATAATAATAATAATAATAATAATAGTAATGATAATGATAACAAATAATAACAATAATAACAATGTTGACAATGATGATGACACTGCTGGATTAAAAAAGAAAAAAAAAGTTACGCAATATTAATAATAACTTTCTGATAATCTGAGATGACTAATGCGAAAGTCTGCTAATAATACGTGAGTGACACAGACAATGAATTACTGATGATATAACCTCGAGATTAATAAAAGATACCTTTGCCCTTCTATAAAAAAAGGTGTTTTCTGATAAGGATTATCGCAAGCTGTTATTCAACTGTTTTTTTAATACAAAAATGGTGAGAAAATGACGGTTTATTTCTGTTTTCTCTGTTCTTGTGGATGTTATGTCTGTTCTAAGATAATTTTCCCCTTCAGATATACATCAAATATTTTCATAAAACATACTGTATAAATCCATGAGTAATAAAACAATACCAAATTAACATGTATATTGTAATAAGAAGCCATAAGAAAATAAATAAATGAATAAAAAAAATAAAAAAAATGATAAATATAAAAAAAATAATAATAACATTAAATAAAAGAATATGTATAGGATATTTATATCGTTCCAACAAGGCTTATCGACTGACACGGGGAATTTACAACTCCCAAATCTCGAATACAGATAAGATTATTTATGTAAGAAATTCTATCTTCAAGGCTTCCCACAGATTTTCAGATCATAGAGCGCGATTCCACATACGCGAACACATTACTAGGAACTGTTTATCCTGTGGTGGTATTTTAAGAAAAATTATCACTATTTTGTTTAGCGAATGTTGAGCGGTTTAGTGCTATGTAGCATATTATTCGTTGTATAATGTAGCGATACCATCTTATCACAGTTAGAGAGATATTACCGACACAGACATTTAAAAAGGAAGCAGTTCTTGGATCCTTCGCTGTCGAAATTATAATACAAATCATAAAGAAAAAAAAAAAATATATATATATAATCGTCTCAAAAAGCGCTCAGCGAAACAAAAGCCGATCACAATGGCGGGTTTCAGCGGCGGGGACTGGGCCGTGTTCGTGGTATCGTTAATGGCGTCCTTGGGCATCGGGATCTGGGCAGGATGGAGGGGCAAGAGGAACACGGGCGGAGATGCGAAGGCGGCAGCTTCCGAATTCCTGATGGGCGGCAGGAAAATGAATCCCTTTGCGGTCGCCTTGTCCACCATGATTGGCGCCATTTCTTCGGTCACGGTGGTGGGTAAGTTGGAGATAATTATTATTATCATTATTTTTTACACCGCTTTCTAGCAGTTACTTTATTTTTGTGTAACATGTAGATAAATAATACAGATAAATCATCTATGAAAATATAATGAAACAAAGTATTTATGTGTTTAAATTATATATAACAGATAAATCGTTTATGAAAATATATTGAAACGAAATAAGGAAAAATAATCAAGTGGAATAATTTATAAAGATGTCGTGCAAATTTAAGGGAAAAATAGAAAAAATCAAAGCCACTAATTATCCTCACATTTTTACTGTTTTATAGCATTTTCTAACACATTCTGACATTTTTTTGACGATTCAAAAATTTCTAACATCCCAAAAAACTTATAACATTGTAACATTTCTAACATTCTGACACTTATGTACGGTCTGTCTTCTGCAAATGTTTCTAACAGTCTTACCACAGGTCTAGCGACTTAACCAATTCCAACATTCAAAAATTTTCTAATAGCTCTACCATTTCTAACCATTCCAACTTCTTTAGCATTAACAAATCAACAAATCCTAATATTTCTGATATCTATAATTTTCTCATTTTTAATATCACTACATTTTTTTCAGAATTTTAGATTTTCTTTATTTCTGACAGTTTTAATGCTCACTTTAGAAGTTCCAGCTTTCTCAGAATTTTTGTAATTCTAAATTTCAAAATGTTTCACTTTTAATGTTTCTAATTTTCTCACATTTCATCATTTCTAACCCTTCCACATTTCTAACTTTTTGACAGCTTTAACACTACTCTCGTGGTTTGATACTTTAAGCATTTTAACGTTTTTTTTCAATGTTGAACGGCTAATTATATTGCAATTTTAATATTTCTAACACTTTTTCACATTCTTACAATGTCTAACTTTCGCAATTTAAAAATTTCTAACTTTTCAAATTTTTCCTTAAAAAGATATAAAACTTTTTCGCAATAAAAAAAAATCCATTTCAAACTACCCGCCCCTAAAATTCCCTTAATAATTCCCAACGCAGCAATCTAACTCCCACACATTCCCAACATTCCCAAGACCGCTAAGAAAATTCCAGATCATGATTCCCACATTCCCAACATTCCCAAGACCGCTAACAAAATTCCAGATCATAATTCCCACATTCCCGTCTCCAACCACAGGAAACCCGGCAGAAATGTACGCCTACGGGACCCAGCTGTGGATGAATCTCATTGGCACGGCGATCGGCATGGTTTATGTGCATCTGGTTATTCTCACCGTGATGTATCCACTCAAAATCACGAGCGTTTATACGGTGAGCGTAACTATAAGGCCGTTTCGATTTTTTGTTGTTGGTGTTTTTGATGATGATAATGATAATAAGAATAGTAGTAATAATAATGATAATAATAATAACAATAATAATAATGATAATATGAGTAATAGTATTAATAAAGATGATAATGATTATGAAAAAAATAATAACAAAAAGGTTATTATAATTATGATAATAGTAATAGTTATATAATTATATCAACAACGACAGCAATATCTATAATAACAATAATGATGAAGAATATACTACTATTACTACAACGACTACTGCTACTATCACTACTATTATTACTACTACTACTACTATTACTACTACTACTACTACTACTACTACTACTAAAGATAATAAACCCTCACATCTAACCAATTCGCCCCATCTCACTCCACAGTACATCGAGAAACGTTTCGACTCCAAGGGCCTGCGTTCCTTCACCGTCTTCACAACGTTTATCGGGACGTTTTTCTACCTCGGCTTGGTCTCCTACTCTCCGTCCCTTGCCATGGAGACCGTCACAGGCTTCCCCGCGTGGGCTTCCATCATCGTCATGGGAGTAATTTGCACGATTTACTCCTCCTGGGTGAGTAGCATGGGCTGATGTTATTTGTTGTTGTAAGCTGGTTTGGTCGGTTGTAGGCCTATGTACTTGGGTTGTGTTAACTTGCATTCGATCGGGTTAAAAATTGTGCGAGGCTCGACCCAATGTTTGTTCGTTATACGGACATATATGTATACCGAAAGACATAGATATCTATTAATTCATCTATCTACCGGATATATAGGGAGATAAATGCATGTATTTCTGTGAATATGCGTGTATATATGAATATTTTTTGAGTCAGGTTTCCCACAATTGTAGCAAACAAGCAGGATATGTTTACAGTCGCGTACGGAAGTCGAGACAGTGAATGGAGCTTCGAGATTTTTGTTTTATACATGTATTTCTGTGGATATGCATGTATATATGGCTTTTTTTTGAGTCGGCCTTCCACAATTTAAAAACTGGCAGGATATGTGTACGAAAGTCGAGACGGTGAATGGAGCTTCGAGACTTTAGTTTTAAATATACAAAAAAGGTTTTCGCCATTTTGGTTGTTCGAGACGGATTATCGGAGAGACTTTGATGTGAGTTTTGATCGTGCATGCCGATTCAATCCCTTCTTTTTGTTTTGCTTGCTTTTTTCTCTGTTTCTTCTCTTTTCCTTCCTCCCTAGTTTTGTCTTGATCTCACCTTCCCTCCTTCTTTCTTGTTCTCCTTGTCTTTGCCTGACTCTCTCTGCCTCCCTTTCCCTCCGCCTCTCTTTGTCTTCCTCTCTCTGCTGTTCTCTTTCACATCTTTCTTTCCCTTCCTCCCCCCCTCCGCTTCTCTTTATCAACCTCCCTCCCTTCTCTCTCTTTCTTCCGTCTTACCTCCACCTCTTTCTTCTATCCTCCTTCTTTCTTTCCCTTCTTTCCCCCCACCCTTTCTTCCTCCCTCCCACCACCACACTCTCTCCTCCCTCTCCCCCCTCCCCCCTCCCAACAGAACTCACCCGCACCCCTAAAAAAAAAAAAAAAAAAATAAATAGTCACCATTTCTTCCCCGCCCACAGGGAGGCGTGCGGGCGGGTGGTGTACACAGACATCCTCCAGACCTTCGTGATGTTCGTGGGCGTCATCGTGATCATTGTCAACGCCACAGTGGAGGCGGGCGGACTCGCCAGCGTGTGGAGCATCGCGGACGAGCACGGGAGAGTGGAGTGGTGGAAGTGAGTGTGGGGGCGGGGTGGAACGGCGGCTGGGGGGGGGGGGGTGTGTGGTGTGGGAGTGCGTCTCTGTGTGTGTGTGTGTGCGTGTGCATCTTTGTATGTGTCTGTGTGTGTGTGCGTGCATTGATTGGATGCATGTATATCGTGTTATATAAATGTATACACTGCTAAATTGAAGTCTTTTAATGGTTAATAATCGAACTCTCTCTCTCTCTCTCTCTCTCTCTCTCTCTCTCTCTCTCTCTCTCTCTCTCTCTCTCTCTCTCTCTCTCAAATAACATAAGAAATCCATACGTTTCATTATCATTTCAGTTGACTTTTTTCCTCCAAATTCTTGAAAGCAGAAATAGCTCTGCGGCAAAAGACACGATCCAATTGTCATTCTTTTTTATGATAATCACAATAGCGATAAAGAGATGAATGTCAAGAAGTTAAGATCAGCGATAAGATTATAAAAACAGACGATATCTTTTTCTTAAATAATATGATTAGACTTTGGATGTTATTGATAACTGTGTGTATATGTGTGTACGTGCGCGTGTGTGTGTTTTTGTATAACCATGGGTTAATGTACATGTATATGTGTTTGTACGTGTGTTTGTGTGTGCGTATGTATGGATTTGTGCATAGGCGTACATGTATATGTGCGTGACACTGTGTATAAGCGTATCTTAAAAAAAAAAGATAATAATAATAACAACAATTATAATAATAACAATAATTATGTCCCTCGTCTTCACAAACCCAATGACACAGTCGCCCATCTTCACCCAACCACCCAATGACCCAACTACCCAAATCATCCAATCACCCAACTAACCAATCAACCACTCACCCAATGACCCAACCACCCAATCACCTAATCACCTAACTACCAAATGAACCAACTACCCAATCACCACACCCAATCACCCAACTACCCAATGATCCACTCACCCAATCACCCAATCTTTCAGCGTGAACCCCGACCCGCTTCAGCGCCACAGCCTCTGGACGGTGACGGTGCAGGGTTACTTCTTCTCCCTCCTCGTCTTCGGGATGGGTCAGCCGCAGGTGCAGAGGATATGCTCGGTGGAGACGTGGAACAAGGCCATTTTGTGAGTTTTGTGTTTTTGTTTTGTTTGTTTGGTTTTGTTGGTTGGTTGGTTGGGTTTTGTCTTTGTGTGTGGGTTTGTTGTTGTTGTTTGTTATGTGTGTGTGTTTTGTTATCTGTGTGTGTGTGTGTGTGTGTGTTTGTTGTTATCTGTGTGTGTTTTTGTTATCTGTGTGTGTTTTTTGTTATCTGTGTGTGTTTTTTGTTGTTTTATCTTGTGTGTTGTTGCTGTTATCTGTGTGTGGGTTTTTGTTGTTATCTGTGTGTAAGTGTTTTCGTTGTTTGTGTGTATTTGTTGTTTCTTGCATGTTTTATTTATTAGTCTATGTTTTTGTTGTTGTTGTTTATGTGTGTTCTTGTTGTTCGTTGCTCGTTTGACTTTTTTCTTTGTCTTTGTTTTTTGTTAGTTTTTTGTTCTATTTGATTTGGCGTGTTTAATGTCTGTTTTTGTTGTTGTTATGTTATTTTGTCTTTTTCTTTTCTTTTAATACATGTGTATTTTATGTTTTTTTTCGTGTATGAATATGTGGGTAGATTATTGGATGAATAAATTAAGTCACACACACACACACACACACACACACACACACACACACACACACACACACACACACACACACACACACACACACACACACACCACACACTCATACACTCATCATCCCCTCCACACCCTCCCACACAAACTACACAACACCCTACGGACCCAAAAAACTTTCAACACCCTTTTCTCTCTCCCTCCCTCCCTCCCTCCTCACCTCCCCACCCCCCAGCGCCCACTACCTCAACATGGTAGCCAACATCACCGTCTTCTGCTGCGTCAACTTCCTGGGCATCGCCGTCTATGCCGTGTATGCCAGCTGCGACCCCATGGCCACCGGGGAGATCTCGAAGCCCGACGAAATTGTTCCACATTATGTGATCGATCGCCTGTCGTATCTGCAGGGGATTCCCGGGCTGTTCATCGCCTCTCTCTACGCCGGCGGACTCAGGTGAGGGCCTGGGGCGGCTTTGGCAATCATGGGAAGAATGGGATTGGTGGGTCAGTGGTGATGGTGTTGGTAATGGTGACACCTTGATGGTAATGGTAATGATATTAGGCTTAATGATAATGGTAACAATGGTGGAAACAGTAATAGTGATGATAATGGTACTGGGAGTGATGATGGTAATGGTAGTCATGATGGTAATGCTAGTGATGATGGTAAAATGCTAGTGATGATGGTAATGGTAGGGATAATGGTAATGGTAGTAATAATGGTAATGATAGTGATGATGGTAATGGTAGTGATGACGGCGATCCCCCACAGCTCCTACTCGTCCCAGATCAACGCCGTGACAGCTGTCATGTGGGAGGATTTCTTCAAGAACTCGCAGTGGGTTGCCAACATGGCGGATAACAGGAAGCCTCTGGTTAATGTTCTCGTCAGTGAGTTTCTTTTTTTCTTTTTCGTTCTTTGTCGCTCATTTCTTTAATGTTCATTTTTATTCATTTTCGTTCTTTGTTCATGTTCATTTTTGTTTTTCGTTCTTTGTCTCCCCTTTGTTCATGTTCATTATTATTCATTTTCGTTCTTTGTTCATGTTCATTTTGTTGTTTGTCGTTCTTTGTTCATGTTTATTTTTGTTCTTCGTCGCCCTTTGTTCATGTTTAGTTTTGTTCTTTTTCGTTCTTTGTCGCCCTTTGTTCATGTTTATTTTTTGTTCTCTTTCGTTCTTTGTCGCCCTTTTTACGTGTTCCTTTTTGTTCTTTTTTGTCCTTTGAGTGATAGCAAGATGATTGGCGAAGCGATGAAGGTTGGTGGAGAATGCGTTGGCGAAGAAATGAAGAAGGAGATGCGTAAACGAATGGAAATAAATAGATAGATAGAATAAAATATAACGAGCGAAAAGAAGAACTGAAGAGTGAAATAACAAGTCAATAAACAAACTTTGAGTGTCAAGTAGATTTTAAAAAGATTCAGGAATGAGTAAACGAATTTAGGAATAAATAATTAAAGAAAGAAATTAACAGATGATCGTATCATCTAATGCAAACAAACAAAAAACAAGAACAAAAAGCAACCCCTAAAATACGAAAAGAAAACAACAAAAGAGATACTTAATCCCAAAAATCAAAGAAAGCAGAAAATAAACATACAGAGAAAACGACGGAAAGAAATGAAAATGAAAAGTAAACTAAAAAGAAAAGACAAAGAAACCGACGAAAAATAGTTAATTTTTTCCCCCGTTTTCTACAGGTGTCATCACAGGCCTGGCGGGTATTCTAGCAGGTGTGATAGCCTCTCAAATGGGCGGACTATTTCAAGTGGGCCAGACTATCCTCGGGACTATCCACGCCCCCCTCCTCGGCCTATTCATCTTGGGCATGTGCTGTCCCTTTGCCAATAAGATCGTGAGTATTTATTTTACTTTATTATGTTGATAAGGACTATTCTCTGATCCGGCCTGGGATATTTAACCCTAGTTGGCAACTCAGCCATATTGTAGATGGGGTATTTTGAATAATTTGTATTTATTTATCATTTAAAACTTTTTCTTAATTATTTATTTTTATACATATTTTTTAAATTATGTAATAAAAAGTGTCTCTAAAAGGTACTCACATTGGCATATCATGTATGGAAAGATGTAAACTAAATATGCTAGAGATATTTTGATATATGAATATAATAGAATGTCATCACTAGATTTAACGGGAACAAAAAATTTCTTCTCTCTAATATTACTACGAACATAAACACCTTTTTTCTCTTTAATATTACCGCGATCCTAAACATTTTTCCTTCTCTTTCTAATATTACCACGAACCCAAAAAGTTTTCCTTCTCTTTAATAACAACACAAACCTAAACACTTTTCCCTTTCTTTCTCATTCTTTATGATATTACCACAAACACACTTTTCTCTTTCTCTCTAACATTACCACGAACCTATTTTTTTTCTTTCTAACATCACCACGAACATATTTTTTTCTTTCTCTAACATTACCACGAACTTACTTTTTTCTCCAACATTACCACGAGCCTATTTTTTCTTTCTCTCTAAGAGTACCACAAACCTATTTTTTTCTTTCTCTCTAACATTACCACGAACCTATTTTTTTTTCTTTCTCTCCAACATTACCACGAACCTATTTTTTTCTTTCTCTCCAACATTACCACGAACCTATTTTTTTCTTTCTCTTTACCACGTTATTTTTTTCTTTCTCTCCAACGTTACCACGAACCTATTTTTTTCTTTCTAACATTACCACGAACCCATGTTTTTCCCTTTCTCTCTAACATTATCACGAACCCATTTTTTTTCTTTCTAACATTATCACGAACCCATTTTTTTTTTTCTTTCTAACATGACCACGAACCTATTTTTTCTTTCTCTCTAACATTGCCACGAACCTTTTTTTCTCTCTCTCCAACGTTACCACGAACCTATTTTTTTCTTTCTAACATTACCATGAACCTATGTTTTTCCCTTTCTCTCTAACATTATCACGAACACAATTTTTTTCTTTCTAACATGACCACGAACCTATTTTTTTCTCTCTCTAACATTACCATGAACCTATTTTTCTCTTGCTCTCAAACATTACCACGAGCCTATATATATTTTTTTCTCTCTCCCAGGGTGGCATAGTAGGATTCAGCGCCTCCCTCCTGTTCAACCTATGGGTGACAATCGGCGCTATGTTGTACGGGAGAGCCACGCCCTTTTTGGAATTCTCTGACGAAGGGTGCAACGCCACGACCCCCTTTGACCTCACAACAACGAACCCCCAAGTCGACTGGACGACCACGGGGTT